AAAAGTCTTCTCCAACCCAAATGATGCTGTGATTCTGGGCATGGGGAATTATCATTGTTCCTCCCTGAACTAGCGTGCGTTGGGGAGCTGGAGGAGAGGGCACGGCTCCCTCCTTGGATGGAGATGGCGGTGGGAGCCATGCAACCCCCCAAAGGGTCCAAACCCAGCCCCCCCCGCCAGCGGCTGCCTGCCGGGTTTCCTCGGCAAGGCTGGAAGTGACAGAGCTTCTTGCACAACTGCTGAGAAGTTGTACCCCTGGGATGGGGCACGGGAGGCTGGAGCAGCGGGCCGAGCCCGGCAGCCCGGGATGGACCACAGCAAAGACCGCAGCAGGTGCCAGGCTGTGCCGTGCGGCTGAATCCCCTGGTAGGGATGCTCTCCGGTTGCATCGGGAACCGGCCGTGCTCCCCCGTGTTGTGCTTCAGCTGACAAGGCTGAGCCGTAGGTCTGGAGCGATGCTGTGCCGCAGATTTAGGAGGTCTGATCCCAGCCGCGGTCTTCCTCCTGCTCTGTAACCCCAGGTGCAGCTGGCTGGATGTGGATGTGGGAACCCCATCCGTGGGGACTGACGATGTTATCTCCCACGTGAGCCTGCCACGTAAGGAATTGTGCAGTAGGAGGGAAGAAATTTGAGGAGCCTGCAGTTTGGAGGTTTGGGTTTTCGGGCTCTGTAATAAGCCCTTAATGAAATGCTGCTGGAGCGCCTTCTTCTTCTTCTTCTCAGTCCTGTTGGTGACAAAGTGATGCTGCTCGGTGGCTGGCAATCCGAAGGCTCCATCCTCATTTGGACTTCTTGCTTCTCCTCACGTAAACCACGAGAAGCTCCAGGGAAGGAAAAACATCCTGCCCAGCAATATTGGCAAAGGGAACGAGGATCTAACAAGCAAATAAAAAAAAAGCCTGCACATAGTGTGGGCTGTGAAAATACCCGTACTGGTCATTCCCTTCCAGGGGGTGGTTTCGGTCCATGATAGACCTCAGCGTTGTGTTATCCTTCAGGTCTGCTCCATCTTCCTAACCACTGGCTTGTGTTGGCATTTACTGCTTTATGCTGGTAAATAAAATGCTGCGTTTAGGGCTAGGGAGAGGGACGGTCAGTCCAACTGAAATACCTGATAAGGTGTTTTTTTAAAAATAAGGCAAATGACCCTTTTTCTCCTGCTTGCCTGGAAATGGGGGTCTTACGGAGATGTATGCAAAGGGTAGGAGCTGTAGCTGCAAGGTCTCGTTTACCAGCGGTTTTTAGTGTTGACCTTTATGCGAACAGCACCATACTGCTCCTATAAGCCTTGCTTTTCCAGGCTACCAAGGCACTTATTTTTACAGAGAGGATGCGTTTATCTTGCTGAAGGTCGCATGAAAATGCACGGGGCTGTTCTTTACTCGTTGCTGCCGTGAAAACAAAACACACCTGATGATGTTGTCGGCTAGCGCTGGCAACTGAAACCCAGACTTGCCCCGTGTAGGTGTAGATGCTCAGCGAAGGCGTCGAAGCTAGAAATTTAATTGTCGAAGCTCCGTTGACTTTTTGGGAAGATAGTTTTTGGACGGGCTGAGTTGCTCTCTGGAGGCGTCCTGTTTCCAGTGATTTCAGATGGAGCCAGGAGGGCTCCTGATGCTAAGTAGTTAAGAGCTCGCTGGGATGAATTGGAACCTAATGAGTGCTGCTGGGGTTTGTACTTGGAGAAAGTTTCCAGCAAGTACAGCAAAGCATTTCAGACACTGTCAGGGAACCGACAGAGGTGCTGGAGCACCTCTGCTGTGAGGACAGGCTGAGAGAGTTGGGGTTGTTCAGCCTGGAGAAGAGAAGGCTCCGGGGAGGCCTTAGAGCAGCCTTCTGGTACCTAAAGGGGGTCTGCTGTGAGAGGACAAGGGGTAATGGTTTTAAACTAAAAGAGGGTAGATTTAGACTTGACATACGGAAAAAAATTTTTTACAATGAGGGTGGTGAAGCACTGGCACAGGTTGCCCAGAGAGGTGGTGGAAGCCCCATCCCTGGAGGCATTCAAGGTCAGGCTGGATGGGGCTCTGAGCAACCTCATCTGGTTGGAGATGTCCCTGCTCACCGCAGGGGGGTCGGACTAGATGACCTCTGAAGGTCCCTTCCAGCCCAAAATGATTAAATGATTCTATGATATGATGAACCCAACATTACAAACAGTCCCTGAGAGGGCAGTGATCAACAGGGAACCCCCAAACATGAAGCACCCAATTTAAAATCACACGGAGAGTGGGGACATGGTGCAGAATAAGCTCCTCATTCCCAGCTTTTTCTTCTAGCTACCCGCCCATGTTCCCCGGCTGCTTTTCTCCAGCGCAGAGACTCATTTGCTCCACTTGTGTGGTTTTATTTATTTACTTATTTATTTATTCTTTCCTCTCTAGGCTTCTGGGCTGATCGAACGCCAGTTCATGAAGCAGCCCGGCGGGGAGAAATCCTGCAGCTGCAACAGCTGATAGAGAGCGGAGCCTGTGTCAACGCCGTCACCTACGACTCTATCACCCCCTTGCACGAGGCGAGCCTGCGAGGGCAAACGCAGTGTGTCAAGCTTCTGCTGGCTGCAGGGGCCCAGGTGTGTATTTGGGGTCTGATCCAGCTAGGAACTTCATCCTGATGTCTGAAGTTGTTTCTGGGAGCTGGATCCTCCTCATCTAACTCTAGGCTCTTCTTCATCGCCCTGGGCTTTCTTGACAATCAGCAGAGGATGACAGGCATCTTCATCGAGAGGAAACGGTCTCAAGTTGCGCCAGGGGAGGTTCAGGCTCGACATTAGAAAGAACTTCTTCACTGTAAGAGTCGTTAGGCATTGGAACGGGCTCCCCAGGGAGGTGGTGGAGTCATCGTCCCTGGAGACGTTCAAAAAACGTTTAGATGTGGCACTTCGAGACATGGTTTAGTGGACAGGGTGGCATCAGGTATACGGTTGGACTCGATGATCGTTGAGGTCTCTTCCAACCATAATGATTCTATGATTCTATGATTCAGACGGTGTTTGAGCTTGAGGAGGACTTAAAAAACTGCCTGGAAGTATTCCTCTCTCAGTCTCTCCCCAACAGAGCCTAGGGCGACTAGAAATCTAATTTAGATGACTTGAGTATCTAAAGCTAGCCGGGTTGAATCAAGGGGCCAGAAGGGGAGCAGGGGACGGGTAGCTTCCAGAGGGGATTAATTCTTTTGTTTCTTCTTCTATTTCTTTAATTTTATTATGGAAACAAAAATCAGCTAAACGGGATCTTTGGATATAGCTGGTGATGACTGGCTTCAAGGGCTTGTGGCTTCTCACACGCTGAAAATCGCCGTCCTGAGAGCAAAGCCGGTGAAGTGGAGCACGCGTGCGCCCCGTGGTCCTTTTCGGTGCAAAGTCAGCCACCTTGGCTGAGTCCGCCGATGAACCGGGCTTTGCATTAAAGCAGAGAGGAGTTGCGTTGTGTTACTCGACTGCAACGCTTGTAACCTTCAGCAGAAAAGCGGTAGAAAAATATAACAATGGAAATCACAGCCTAAACTTGTGACGTTAATGTACATCTGTGCCCTGAGAGTGATGGGAACAGCGCAAGCCAGGTTGCTGGCAGTAGCCGTCAACTCTTTCCTGAGTCCAGAATATTTCTAGGGTTAAAAGAATTGAAAACATAGGCAAGAGGGTACTTCCACATGGCAACCTGTGGGTACCTAACATTTTTTTTCTGCCTTGAAGGTGGATGCCAGAAATATCGATGGCAGCACTCCGCTCTGCGACGCCTGTGCCTCGGGTAGCATAGAGTGTGTGAAAGTGCTGCTGTCCCACGGCGCCAAGGTGAACCCTCCCCTTTACACAGCATCTCCTCTCCACGAAGCCTGCATGAACGGTAAGCCCGCGTGGTCTTATCTTTGCACGGTTATTTGCAGCTTGGGGGGGAGAAAAACCCCAAAATGTAAGCTGTTGTTGCTCATCAGACCGTTACAGCTTGCAAATATTTCAGCCTTACGTGGGCACATCTCCCGTTGAACGCAGAATGCAAAGCGCTATGTTACCGGGTGAATAAAGCCATCCCTTGTGTTGGATGCTTTTATCCCATGTGACGGACATGGGATAAGACGTTAGGCAGATAAAATGCCAGCTTCGTAATGCTCTATTAGAAAACCTTGAGCCAAACCAGTAGCTTTGCTCTTGCAAAGAGCAAAGAATCCCGTATTCTTTCCCTCTGATCCAAATTGAGATGGGATAAATTGCTCTGATTAAGACACAAGACCCTCTTAACCAGGTAGTCCTGTCCCAGACCCCTCCTAGTTGTTCGGAGCTGCCGGAGGAGGCTGCCAGGTGGGAAGAACGTGCCAGGGGCTGTCGGGCAGTGCTGCTGCCTCTTCTGCTCCTTGTCCCTCTCGTGGCCTTTTCCAGCTGGAGGGTCTGTCCAGGGGATAAGAGAAAAGGGCAGGGGCCAAAATAATATCCCGTCTGGTGTGTGCCTGCTGCCCTCCGCTCCCCACCGTCCTCTACTCAAGCCTCTTCTGGATGTTTGGATCTGGGTTACGGAGCGGGAGCAAGCATCAGGGGTGGCTGTGACAGCAGCAGAGGCAGGGAGAGCGGCAGAGGGGTATTTAAGTGTAATTCCTCTCCCGAACTTCCACTTGCACGGATGCAACAGCAGGAAAGCCTGGATGTGAGAGCGGCAGTGTCCCCTTTAGATGATTGTGACCAAATCTCTTAATCATTTTGTGCCTCAGTTTCCTCTTTGTGGGATGTAATATCTCCTCTCTCCTCCCCTTCACTGTTTTTGCTATATGTTATTTATTATGTTATATTTTATTTGTTCTGTCCTGGACAGAGTTTCCCTTTGACTATGAAGGCTGCGGGAGACAGCATTTTTGGCAAAAAAGTAGTTACTTAAATACGTAGCTGTGAGCTCTTGCTTAGCTTTTCCTCGTTAAGCCTTTTTCCTAAGGCTTGATGATGACTGCTCGCTTTCTGTTAAGTCATATTATTAGCATTGGAAAAAGTAAAGCTGAAGTGATCTCGAAGGTGATCTAATCCACCCAGGGCAGGATCAGCAATACGACCAGCTCCACAAACAACAGGCGTTTTGGCGAAAACCCTTGAATTCAGGTTTGTTTGACCCGACTCCCTGCGAGACCTGTTAGCTCTGGCTCGGTGCTGTGCAGATGTGACCCTATTTCTTGTGTCTTGGTCTCGCTCTCGGGCCTGCAGTGTATCGTGTTGGCTCCCAGGCATTTCTGTTTTGCAGCTGTCACCCCAAATATGAAACAGGCTGTGGATCAAGCTGGTCTGAGCATGCCGTATGCTCCCATTTGAGCTGGATTCTTGCTTTTGACTCGGATCTTCCCTTTCTAAAGGTAGCTCAGAGTGCGTGCAGCTCCTCATCGACGTTGGTGCCAACTTGGAGGCTCACGACTGCCATTTCGGGACTCCCCTACACGTGGCCTGTGCCAGGGAGCATCTGGACTGTGTGAAGTTGCTGCTGAAGGCAGGTATGGCAGCCACGGGGTTTGCTTCTGGGTGGGCAGGAGGCGGTGGTGTCTCGGTGCTCTACAGCAGCATTCTTGTTGAAAAGCTTATTCATTCACAACATAATATAGACGACAAAGGTGAAAGGTTTTGCCTTTACCTGAGCAAAGCTTAATGCTTAGGCGTTTTTTTCAGCGTATGCCTGTCAATATGCAGTCCGTGATGTTCCCAGTGACATCCCCATTCTCTTAATTTAATAAAATTCAGAACTCTTCAGCCCCCTAGAGCAAAGTTGCAATTTCTTCCCCAAAGTGGTATCGACTGGTGTGCACGCGTTCAGCTTTGGGAGCAAAGTTGTATGGGTTTGGATAGGTATTAGAGAGAGATGTTAAAGTTTTTGTTGTACAGAAACCCAGAGCTGGTGTCACTTCATACCTCGGGGAGATCTGGTTAGCGTTATGCCCAGGTGAGTTTGCTGGATGTTCAAGTCAATGTTCCGTGCTCCGGGTTTCACATCCCAGTTTTCTTGCTGCTAACTTTGGGGGAATTTGGAGTTGGACTTCTTGTCTTTGCCTGTGCTTACCAGGAGGTGATTTGACCCAGGGGTGGGCATTTGTTTTGTTGATTGTTAGTTGTCTAAAAATTATACATCTAAGCTAGGCTGTGCCCAGCCCCTCCAGTTCTCTGTCTTGGGTACCCTTTAATTGATTCCCCAGAAATGCCTGTTTCTCCCCGTTAATTGTAATGGGAGTTCATTGTGGCTACACGTATCTAAAAGTCAGTTGTTTGAGTTCAGTGAGGTTCAGCTTACCTCCACTGAACAAATCAGTCGATAAAACGCAAGCGGTTGTGGGGAGGTTGGACGGACTTCTCGCTGTCAGCTTATAAACCCCAAACTTTCGTAGCAAAAATATCTGTAACTAAGACTTGATCCTGCAGTAATGTCTGATGGAGAGCTTCAACGTCTTGTGGGTCTGGGGTAGTTCTGTTAGAACAGCTAACAACGATGTCACTGTTTGCCTTGGGTGGGGGCACTCCATTGGGATGGCTGGGAATGGCTCTTTGCTGGCTTTGGACAGCACAGATTGAGGAAGCAATTCTGAACTTCACACTCAGCAGCGTATTTACCCAGTGACATGGACTAAAATCCTTCCTCTGCAAGGAAAACATAAAGCCGGAGACGAAAACTCGTGCATTACCAGCACTGAGAACTTGTTGAGCACTTTGGTTTCCTGTTTGTGCTGTTCTGTTTGGATCTTGTCCGAGCTGCTCGGGTGTGTTTTAACAGCATTTTTTTCTCCAAAACACTCCTTACATTTGGGTCGAGTAAGGCTTTCATGAACAGATTTGTTTTTCTTTCTGGTCTCAGGGGCAAATGTGAATGCTGCTAAACTTCATGAGACAGCCCTCCATCACGCAGCAAAAGTGAAAAACGTAGATCTGGTGGAGATGCTGATTGAATTTGGAGGAAACATTTACGCAAGGGACAACCGAGGAAAGAAGCCATCGGATTACACCTGGAGCAGCAGTCCTACAGCAAAGTGCTTTGAGTACTACGAAAGTCAGTGAGATACGATCCCCTGCCCAGTCTGATTTGTACATCCCTGATCATGTTCCTGTGAACGTGTAGAGTTCTTGGTGGCAAATGTATGGCAGCTGGCCGTAGGCTTGATCTGCTTAATTGTGGTTGAATGACACTGGTAAGGTGGTCCCAATCATGCCCTCAGTGAATTCAGGTCCCTCTACCGTGTCAGCGTGTTTATGCTTTGATGCATTAAGGCAGGTCAAGGAAATCGCCTGGTTGAAAACTCATTTCATTTGGGGCAGGGAATGTGTTAAACTTTAGCTGCGCTGTCTGTCTGGTTTTGGAGGAGACATTTGACTGAGGTTTGAGGGTGACTTTAAATCAATCTTTGCCTTGGTTACCCTTAGTGGACCTCAGAGGAGTAATTCACAAAACCTTCTGAGCATTTGCAGACGGCTGCTGCACCAGATGATCCTAAACATCATAGAATCACAGAACGGTTTGGGTTGGAAGGGACCTTAAAGCCCACCCAGTTCCACCCCCCTGCCATGGGCAGGGACACCTCCCACCAGACCAGGTTGCTCAAAGCCCCATCCAACTTGGCCTTGAACACTTCCAGGGATGGGGCAACCACAGCTTCTCTGGGTAACCTGTGCCACTGCCTCACCGCCCTCATCGTAAAAAAATTCTTCCTTATAGGAAGAAAAATTTCTTCCTTATAGAAGAATAAAGTATTTTCTGGCTTTGCAGTCATTTGGGTGGTGAGCTCCTTATAACTCCATCTCCCTCTGGCTTCTCTTCTCCCCGTAGCGGTCTCTCCTCCAAGTTATTCGTTGCTCTTTTCTCCGAGAGCGGCGAAGGGTGCTGGTCTGGCTGCAGCTGAGCTGGGTGAGGAGATTGAGCCCTACATGCCCACAGATACTCCTTATATCTTGCCAGAGTTTACTGCCCGCTAAACCCGGCTGGCAGAAGTGCACGTGTAGTTGCTTTTCAACGCAGACTCTTATAAAAGTACTGTGCTAGCTTTATTAGTATTTTTTTTCCCTTTTGATTTATATCATTACATTTGGGACTAGATCCAGGACAGGTGCAGATCTTGGAGGCTGGTGATTGCCGAGGCTGTGGTGGTAGGGATAGCAGCTGCTTAGGAATGACCGCTTCCAGAGCAACGTGCCCGATTGTCACTCCACGTCCATGCGTGAGCATCGATGCTCAGCGTCGAGGCTGCGGGCTGCAGATTGGGGGCTCTCTGGGAGGGGCTCGGGGAGTTTTCGGGGAGCTCTCAGTAGAGTGTGGAGCGGAAAGGGTTAACGCAGTCCTTAGATGGAGAAACAGAGCGGTAGAGAAGTGTTGGAAGTAGGTTTTGTTCTGATATACCGTCTTGCTGAGGCTTAATACGGCATCGCTAAGGGAAGTCTGAAAGTTTTGGGTAGCCCCAGTGGATCCAGTGGGCTTCAGGGGCTGCAGGCGGGGAAGGGAGCTGCAGCTGGGCTTAGTATTTCTGGAGAGATTTGCGTCGGGATGAGTCTTGAGAGAGCACGCCCGTGGGTCTGCAGTGCCTTCCTTGGGCCTGGGTGCCGTGGGAGGTCGTCGAGCGCTCGTAAGCAGAGCCAGGCTTGCGATCACGACCGGGGCCATGCCAGGCGCCAGCCTCCGGGGAGGTCTGTGCTCCGGGGGAAGATCAGCCGTCCGCTGAGCTGCAGGTCTAACTTTGGATCCTCTTCTCTCGTTTTAGAAACGCCTCTGAGTTTGTCGCAGCTCTGCAGAGTTACGGTGAGGAAAGCCGCTGGGCAGCGAGCGCTGGAGAAGATTGCCAAGCTAAATATTCCTCCGCGATTAATCCAGTACCTGTCCTACAACTGACAGGGGCCAAGGTGGCCGGGAAGGATGACATCTTTAGCTCCCGCGCTATGAAGTATCCGTCTCTTTCTCTTCTACCTCCCCTCAAGAAACTAATTTTAATTTAAGCAAACTGGTGTAAATAGTATTTATGAGGCAGCACTGCCTCTTCTCTGTGGGCAAAGAGAGGCTCAGGCAACGTGCAACGCTGACTTGAAGTCGTAACGTCTCCTGGGGTGATGTGATAGACTGTCACTACGTTCGAGGCGGTAGCGCTCGCTCTTTGAGCGAGACGAGTCTTGCCTAATTTTACCTGTCCCTAGCCTAAAGGCATCTCCAGATGACTTAGCCAGGCTCCCTTTGCAGTCAGGGAAGAGAAATAGATACTTCAGGAGTATGATTCATCTGTCCTGTTTTAGATGCCGGTGCTGGGGCGATACAGCCTGCCTCGGGAGCACCTGTCTCTGCTGACTGCAAAGGGGGTTTGGAGGGAATACCCTCGGAAACGGACATCTCTCTTTCTGCAGTGGGAGCGCCGGATCCCACCTCTGTGTTAAGGACTCAAGTGATGACTGCCTAATGCCAAGGGACAAGGCTCAGGAGAAGCTGGAGGCAAATTAAGTCCCCGGCAAGCTCAGGACTAATTAGAGGCACCGCAGCCGGTTACTGACTTTCCGTAAGCGTCGCTGGGCTTTGACTCAACGCCAGCAGTGAGGACGAACTGCCGCCAGGTCAGGGCTGACTTTGCCCGTGCTCCTTCCTCACCGAAGGTGAGCCAGCTCTTACTGTCGTGTTCCTCCACGGTATCACCATGTCTCGTTTTCAAGCCCAAGCAGGAAGCAGGTCTCTCTGCACATCCAAGGATGCTTCCCTCCAGATGGCTGGTCCCAAACAATATTTCTCCACTTGGCTCTGAGCCACCGCGGCCACTCTTGTTAGTTTTACGTGCAGTAAGTGGCGGACCTGCTGCCCGGTGGTGCCTGAAGTACGGGGAGGGTATGTCCCCTGTGTAGCGGTGGTGTATACCCACAGGTGAAAGGCAATAGGAGGGCTGGGCTCTGCCTTGAGTTTTGTGATTTTTATTCTTATTTTTCCCCCGCTGAGTTGCTCTCTCAATGCTGGAGCCTCTCCAGAAGCTGGCAGCTGGAGCCAGCCCTGAGCCGTGTGCTGCTGAATGTCATGCTCCGATCCTTTGGCTTCAGCAGCCACGACTGCAGCTTTGTCCATCGGTGATTTTAAACCTTCAGGGTGACATTTGTAGGAGCAGAGCCAAAATTGTCGTCTGCCTTCCAGGTGAGACCTTAGATGTTGTCTGAAGGCAGTAACCTACAGGGTACGTGGTACTGAGGGGATGGAGCGCCCTGGTGCCCCCATGGCAAGTCTTAGCACTGTGATGAGAACAAATTCCTCCTCTGAACGACAGCAAACGTTACGAAATCCTCTGTCTAATGTGGCATCGAGCTAACTCAGGGCTCTCGACATCCTTCGTGCTGTGAACTAACGATTAAGGGCGAACGGTCGCTTGCCCGCTCCCTGCAAGGCCCCCGAGCCAGCACGATGGGGCTCAGCCTCGAGAGGGTGGGGGACAGGAGCGTAGGCACAGGGTTGAAGAGCTGAGGTGGAACTGAACGCACTTTAATGGTGACCAGCAAATCGCTTTTTGTTTTGTTAATTTTTGGCTAGGTTTGTTCCCCCCCCCCCCCCCCTA